ACCTTTGTCTTCAATAGAATTTTCATTGGGTAAAGACATATCAACTCAAAGATTAATGCATTAAAGGATGATTTTAATTGGGAGTTCAGTAATCTAAAGAAAATCATAATGTGACTCTGCTGAAAAGAAGTTGGCCATGCTTGGGCATTTGATTTTTAAAATTGGGCTATGACCAATCATGGTACATCCATTCTATTATGTATCAGCTATAGCTTCTCAATTCAGCTCATTCCTCCATCCCAACAGGGCTTCACGATCTGTCCCCGGCTAGTTTCCTAATAGCTGGTCTATACTTATGCTGTCAAAGTGGTAGCCACTAGCCACATATGGCTGCTCGAGTTTCAATTAATCAACAATAAAATTTAGAGTTCAATTCTTTAGTTCACTAGCTATATTTCAAGTGCTCAATAATTACATGTATCTGGTGACTACTGAATTGAACAGGGTAGAAACAGAATGTTTCCATTATCAAATATAACATTTGACAGTGCTGGTCTATAGCCTTGCTATTCAAAGTGCAGTCTGTGGGCCACAGCAGGATCACCTGGGAGCCTATTTGAAATACAGACCCTTTGGGGGGCCTGGGTGGCTCAGTCGGTTAAGTGTCTGATCCTCATTTCAGCTCAGGTCATGATCTCAGGGTAGTGAGATCAAGCCCCGCTTTGGGCTCCACACTGTGTATGCAGCCTGCTTAGGATTCTCTCCCTCTCCCACTCTCTCTTTCTCAAAAAACTCCCCAAAACCCACCAGATTCTTTGTTTCCACTTCAGATCTGCTGAGTCATGACATGCATTTTAATAAGATCCCCAGGGGATTCCTAGGAATACTGAAGTTTGAGGACACAAGACTGTCTTCAAATTGCAAGTTCTGGAATGCCACTGAAGAAATCTTACAAAAAGAACAACAATAGAAATGATGGTTTTTCATTGCTATGCTTCAATATCTTCAATATCTTCCCACTTTCAGTTTGTTAACCTCAGAGGAGGTAGTATAGTAAAGTGGGGTCCTTGACACTTTCCAGTCTAGCTTCCATCATTGCCTCCCTCAAATGATAGATCCTCCCTGTTAAATGGATGATCGATTCTTCTTATTAAATTCATGGTGTTGTTGTGAAAATCAAGGCAATTCATATGCAGCTTCAAACACCATATTCTGGTGCACTGTGAGTGCTCCATGGGCACCACTGTGCCCATGCTTTGAATTTCCATGTTTTGAATGATCTCTCTTCAAGGTGATCTCCCACTAACCATTCTGTCATCAAACCTAGTGAACTCAACTCTTCATCTGACAGGCAGATAACATCTGCTACCTTCAAGTCTTTCCCCGACATCTTCAGCCAGAGATAAGTATTTTTCTTCCCTTCTCTTCTAGTTTTTGCTCATAAGGCTCAAGCTGCTATGAGCATATGTACTCTTCAAAGCGTGTTTGCATATATCGCTTGACCACGAGCTTCTGGAAGAAAAGCTAATTTGAACCTCTAACATCTATCAGAGTGCCCAGCAAAATGTTGACCTAAAAATAATTGTTGAAAAACCATAAAACAACAATAAAATGTTCTAGCCTGGGATTGGAAAGGGCCAAAAATACTGATAATAAGTAGCATTGGTAGCTGTGTAAACCGTAATTTGGCCATGGTTTTGCAAAATGTAAAACATACCCGCCATTTTGGTACACCCTTTCACAGAATTTATTCTGATAAAAAAATTGATCAACTGGGGGTTCCTGGGTAGCTCAGTCCACTGAGAGTCTGAATCTTGATTTTGGCTAAGGTCATGGTCTCAGGATCATGAGATCAGCCCTGTGTGGGGCTCTGTGCTCAGTGGGGAGTCTGCTTGGGATTCTCTCTCTCCTTCTGCCCCCACCCTACTTGTACACGCTCTTGTGCTCTCTCTCTAAAATAAGTACATAAATCTTGAAAAAAAATTTGATCAAATAAACACACACACACACAGATGCATAAGAAAATAGTCACTGCATTTTTGGGAACTGGTTAAACATAGCCACTAAATAAAATCATACACATATGATGTTTAATAAGTGACAAGTGAGAAAACCTGGTACCAAATGCATTAAAAATATGGAAATTCCGTATGCATGGACAAATATCTGGAAGAGTATATCCCAAGAAGTTAACACATGGTTACCTACAGAAAGTTCACAATGACCCTATGGGAAATGTATTTTCCCTTTCTTTTTCACTCTTTCCTCATTCTCTGAAACTTTGATACAAAGAGGAAAACAAAGTCTGTTCTCCTCCTCTACTCCCTCCCTTTCAGCAGTTATTCACCTTGACTCCCCCGAGATAACTTTATCTTAGAGAAGAGACATGCTAATACTATATTCTCCTAACTTCTCACGACCTCACTGAAAGGTGATAAAGAAAATTCTAGGACATAAGTAATTCCTCAAGCTTTTTATTTTTACTTTTTTCATAAGGCTTTGACTTTATATTGACAGTCAATATGAGAAAAGGGATCTCTAAGGGAATGGGAAAAAAAGTTTAAGGATGGCTGCACTTTTGTTAAAAGTTATGAGGTCAATCTGATGAGGACATTGGTCTCCCCATTGATTCTGGGGGTTTATCAGACTGATCTAAGCTGGACAGGCAAGGGTCTCTTTTCTCCTTCCCTGCTTTACATGCACGCTCAATAGGAAAGGACAACCTTCCCTGACAGAAGCGCCCTATTCTTGTTTTCAAGGGTAAAGGCAGTCTCTTCAGTCTGAAAAGATGTATCATGCTAACTGATGAACAAAATCCTTTACCTGATTTAAACAGCAACAACAAAAATCACTGCATTGGTGTGTTAGTCATTTAAGTATAGGAGGCCAGTGAAAACTGTTAAGAATAGTTGTGCTGAATTAAAGTAATGCAAGTGTGAGATCATTCTTTGATGATAAATGTAATTCTTGCCTGGGCTGCTTCGCCTCAAGTTCTAGCCCAAGAACTAGATCACTGTAAATGTTTGACAAGTATCTGCTGAACTGAGTATATTAACTATCTAACTTGTACATTTCCACGTGGGGAGAGAGAAAACCAGAGGGACAAGCTGATGATAGTAGTACTACCGGAATAAACTATGATGTTACCTACTAAACAGGAAAATAAGCAGTTTGAAGAAAAGGAACATTTTGGGCTTTTACTTAGAAGTCTGATAATTATATTTACTAAGGGACCCGTGAACAGAGGACAGGTCTCAAATAATAGGGAGCTAATCTCACATTAAAATGCTATTTTTCATGATAGTCACCTATTGTAAATAAAATCGCACAGTCTCAGAACTGATATTTAAAGTACTGAACACCTACCTGTTAGGTCACAGGCTCTTAAAATCAGAAAGCTTATACCTAACCACACAAAAACAACAGAGACGCCGACTTCCAGCCCTGCGTGGTAGCTCTCGATCTGTTTGGCATGTACCATGGTAAAAAAAAGAATCCCCTACAAATATGTATGCTTAATTTATTATGTCCCATTTATGCCTAGTGCATTTCAGAACCTTTTAAAATTCTTTAGCAGCACAGTGCTAACAGATATAGATAATTTATACAACTAACTAGAAGAGATTCTCTTAATGGCTAGGTATTTTCTAGCTGAATACTAGAAATCTGTGTCTGAATACTGATTTTTGTTGTGATGTTCCTCGTTTACCCTGAGTAGCGTTGTTTCATGAGGGTGGGATCTTGGTCAAGTGACAATGCTTTTGGTACCTGGTATGAGCATTTTTAAGAGGAGGGAGTCAACTCAGATTGAAAAATTAAAAAGGCTTCATCTCTGATGGACAGTGGCCCAATGAGGTGATGTATGAAGCACAGTGATGGGGATTATGAAGCTGTTTCCATGTTCAGTGGGAAAGTGTCCTGATTCATTAGTGATGTCTGCCATGGCCAAAGGATTGGAAATAATAGTATACAACATGCCCCAGAGTTGCCATCTCTAACTCAATTATCTCTAAAATTCCTTCATGCTTTACAATTCTATATTTCTCTTAAATGTTGCGACTAAAAATGGTTAGTTCACTTTCCAAAATACATAATTTATAAGGAGTATTGTAGCTAATGACAGAAATGGGTTCACTGCAAAAGCATCAGACTGTAGACTGTTCTATATACAGCTCTGTAATACTCGTATTCAGTTCTAAAATTTCATGGGCATCACAAATCGCTTTGTAAACTTGAGGACGTGTCACTTCTGTGGCTCTTGTTGGATAAACCATATAGCTTGTGACTGATCACCGTGGACACCATTAGCGTTTCGATGTGGTATGCCTTTTCCACACTCACAAACAGATCAAAATCTGCTGTGGTCATTGCTGGCATTTTAAAAAGCCATTGCCCATAGTTCAGATGCTCACATGTGTTATGAAACACTTAAATAAAAGCAAATTTACAACTGCTATTAGCAGCTTCCATCATTTGGGTTACTATGAAATGAAAAAGAGGATCAATACTACATCAGAAAAGATGAAAAATCCACATATATGAATGAGTATGTAATCCATTCATTGTTTTATGGATGCACAGTTCTCTGGAGAGTGTTGCTGAGTGCAAGATGATGGTCCTGAGTGATGGGTTTTACATTCAGATAGCTGAGTTAGCTGAAAGATGCCTTACTGTACAAGTAGCAGAGAGCTCCCCATCGACGATGCATCAAAGGGGACTCCTGAGCAGTGTCCCTTCCTGCAAGTGCTTGAATGATTCTGTGTACACAAGATGTCACAGACTTACCCATGTTTCAAGAGGGATATGTCAAACACAAGTTCACACCCTAGTCTGTGCCCAACAGTCAACTTGGTTCTTTCTGCAAAGACAGCTTTTCTATTTATCTGCAGTTGCCAAAGATTACTTGAGATACTCCGTGATTTTTAAGGTACTAATTGATCCTCTCTCTGGAAGATCAACCTCGTGATATACTTCTTGGCCACAAAGATAGAGGAGACCAACATGACAACAATATAACATCCCGACGGAGAGACAAAGTAATTGTAAAAATTTGTCCTTACCTATAAAATATGATAGGAGTATTGCCAGGAGCACGGAGACCCCTACAGCACACAGGGCAGTGCATTTCCAGCTACAGTACTTTGAAGACTTCTTGAATTTAAAAGCACTTCTTGATAGGGTGTTTCTAGGTAGTGGCCGAGTAGGCGGCGAGTAAACAGAGCCAGATGCCATCGTGTAACCTGGGGTTGCAGTGCTGAACAGTGGCGTTGTCCCTGTTCCTGTTTTGAATAGGAAATGCCTGCAGAACAAGAGAATATCGCCATGAGATGCGAATATGCTCACATGTGGGAGACAGACTCAGCTATACATTAGCTCTTCCCTCTGTCTTCTCTTTGTCTCTCTCCACCCCCCATGACCTTATGTAATTAAAAAAAAATCAAGAATTAAGGAAATATTTTAACCAACTCATAATGGGGACTCTGATGATCGAACTGATTTGTAATGGATATACCTGTAATGGATACAGAAACTGATTTGTAACACAGATTCAAGTAGATATCTTGAGACACTGTGAAGTTATTCTAATCACACCATTTCCCACACAAAACCATTCTGGAACTCCCTTGTATGAACTCCCTTGTATGAATTGCATTAAGAGCATATTCACATTCCACTTAAGAAAACGAATCACCTTACTTTAAAGCCACACGTGTATTTACCGCTGTGTGAGACTACATCCTCATATGCACACAAGTATGCATGACCACACTGAGATTCTGCAGGATGATTTATTTTCTGGAAGTCCACAGAAACATTCTAACCCCAGCCTGCTCTCCCACTAACAAGCACTAGCAAGCTTGGCCACAGGCAGCTGGTCAGGTCTCGAGGGATGCAAAGTAGTTTTATTTTTAGCCTATGTCAAACATAACCAGGGGAAAAGGGGAGAAAGAGGAAGGAATCACAGAACACTTCTAAAATCAAACTAAATAAATGAGGAGGTCCGTGAAGCAGGTTTGAGATCAATTAGAGAGTGTCTAACAACTGAGCTGGATGGCAGTGGAGAGAACCACCTCTAAAAGTTGTAGATTCTCTTACTTTGAAAATGTGTAAGCAGAAATGAAATGACCACAGGACCAGAGTGCTGTGTAAGAAATTCTTCAGGAAAGATGACTAGTTTAAGATTCCTATTAACAACAAAAGTTCCCCAATTAAAAGAAAAGCACCACATTTTTCGTGGTTTCTATTTCATATTATACCAGTAATTTATTGTGAGTTCACTTTATGTCCTAATAAATTTTCCCTAATACCAGGTCCAGTGAGGACAACAGACTGTGTTCTCTCTTGCATATACAGGAGGTTATGGGTATTTTGGAATATTCCACCACGATACAAACACAGTTTTTGTGAAAGATGACTGGAGATAGTACACAGCTGAATATTTTAACTTTTAGTACTGATGTACTTATTTTAATATATCACAAAAAAATTAAATATATCAAATAAGTTAAGGGGTTAAAAGGACAGAACTTGGAAGCTAGACAAGACTCCTGAGGTTCAAACCCCACTTCACTGCTTACCAGGTCTGTGTCCTTGGGCAAGTTACTTTATCTTTTTGTGTTTTGGTTTCTTAATCTGCAAAATAGGGGCACTAATAGTATCTGCCCTTCAGGGGTTGCTACGAGGCCCTTAAAGGAGTTAATATATACTGTGAAGTGCTTGGAATATAGTAAGCACAACAGATGTGTTGTATATAGGAGGAATCAAACTCATGATCTTATGTACATTACTGCTTATGGATATTATCGCAAAGGCTCATCAATGTTTAAGTTACAAAGAATCCATTTCCAAAAAACTGCTAAGTGACTATTCATGTAGTTGGTTTGGAGATATGGCAAAAGTCATGAAAGTTTGCCTAAGATGGTATAGTGTTAGGTACAATGGCAAGAATTTTGGAGTAGAAATTAGATCTGAGTTTAAGTTTCTGGTTGATCATTTCCTAGATACGTGATCCTACGATGCCTCTGTTTTGTTGTTTTTTCATCTGTAAAATGGAGCTAATGATGTACTTATCTCACAGGGTTATAAACCAGTTAATGTATGTAAAAATGCTTTTCAGGGCACCTGAGTGGCTCAGTTGGTTAAGCATCTGCCTTCAACTCAGGTCATGATCCCGGGGTCCTTGGGATCGAGGCCCTTGTGGGGCTCCCTGCTTAGCGGGGAGCCTCCTTCTCCCTCTGCCTGCCACTCTCCCTGCCTGTGCTCTCTCTGTCAAATAAATAAATAAAGTCCTTAAAAACAATAAAAATGCTGTGTCAACCACAAAATTAGAACGGATGCAAATGATAAATTGTTACTTCTTCTATAGATTACACTAGTAAGTATATTGTGAATCCATTTTTCCCCATGGAAGCACTTTATAAGGCAAGTTTATAGCCGGAGTTAAATCTTATGTTGGAAACAATATTTTTTGAATCTCCTACCATATTCTTATTTGGCATGGTTATTAAGAATGTGGCCTCTGGAAAACTTCACCTATAATGAGCTGGATGGTGTTTGGTGAATGACTCAAATTTTCTGCATCTTGGTTTTATCATCTGTAAAATGGGAATATGAATAGAATAGTAGCTCCTGTGCAGACATTTTATGAGCATTAAATGAAGCAACACACATGTTGTGTTTTTATTAGTATCTAACACAGGGTAAGGGCTCAATAAGCATCAGCTGTTTGTCTTCCCAAAGTCCCAATTGGAACCTGCATTCCAAAAGACCAAAAATCATCATTTGAAGACTTTAAATCCCAATTCAAAATTAACACCCTCTAAAATCAATGTTTACAAAATTAATTCCCCGCTTTGCAAATCTGATATTGCCAGTTTGACACACCAGCAAGCACTCTGGATAAGGAGATGGACTGTAGCCAGGCAGGAACCTGATCATTTAGACAAGCAATCTCTTTGTGTGAAAGACCAAATACTAAACAGTTTAGCTTTTCTGGCCATACTAGCTCATGATAGCAGCCACAGATAATACATAAAGGACTGTGTGTGGCTGTATTCAAATAAAACTTCATTTATGGACACTGAAATTTTAATTTCATATAATTTTCCCACACATGTCATGAAATTTTTTTCCCCCAGATACTGAAAGGTGTAAAAAACATTCCTGGCTCGTGATCACTACAAAAACAGGTGTCAGGTAAGATCTGACCTGTCAGCTGTGGTTGGTCTCCTGGTCTGAGTTCGTACTTTTTTTTAGCATTATATGTGACGAGTGTGCAAGATGTTCAGCAGCCCAAAGGGACAGACTATTTCCTCAACGCCATGGAAAGGATTAAAAAAAGCAGTCCAAAGGATGCACATTCAGTGCTCTTGGAGAAGGTGATGGACAGTTACACGCAACCGGACACGAACTGGTTACTCTCCATTGTCCCATCATGCGTACTTCCTTCAGAGTGCTTCTTACAATCAGTTCTTGTTCACTGGTTTGTATAGAGGATTAAAATTGTAAAATCCTATTTAAAGTGTGTTTTTCCTCCTGAAATTCTACCCCCCTTGGGCTGTCTTTGCTCTACTTCGCCTCTCTCAATTCCAGTGGCTGCTTCGCTGCGATTGCCTCCAGGAGAGATGAGACAAAATGAACAGCAGAAATAGTCCGAGTCTCTTGCTGGTTTCCTACAGTCCCATCCACTGGGGGACAGTCACAATGTTTGGGTAAAAGATGGTGTGAGATGAAAGGAGTTTCCCTCCAGATTTGGAGGAAATCTGCAGGCAGGGAGCTGATAGGCCAGAGGCCTCAAATGGGCCCAGTGAGAGACACCTGCCCTCTGCTTCAGAGGCTGCATCCTGGGGAGGTGGCATGGCTCCAGAGAGGGATGAGGCTCTCTCTGCTACTCCCATGCCACCCGTGAGGGTCTAGAAATAGCAGAGAGCGCTACCTGACGAAACTATGAACAGAAACAACAACCTTCGAAGAGCAACAGTATGTCGGCCCACGGCCAAAGGCAGGTTCCATTCCCTTGTCTTAGGCTCGGGTAACATGAAGAACCTCTAGGGAAAAGTAGACATAGGGAGGATTCGAGCTATACCCAAAATGTGTAAGATACAGAATTTTAGAGATGAAAGGTTCACCTCAAAAACAAGGAGATGGATGAGGGCAGCAGATTCGCTGCATCTCAGGACACAGACCCGGCCCCCGACCTCCCTGGTGCTGGGGAAGCAGAGACGACAGAGTGAATCAGCAGGACTTAACAGCAGTAGCAACCTGTACTTAAATCTCAAGGCAGAGGCCTGAGGAGGTATCAGGATCCCGAACATCAAACGGAAGCATGGAGCGCATAGAGGTCTCTGTGGAGAGACCCTTCCTGAAATTTCTGTGTCTCAGCATTATATGTAAGAAGCAGAATTACTTCTATGGCTTCAAGAGTAGCTCGGAAATAGCAGAGTGTACCATTGGACCTGAAGAGGCCACGCAGGTAGGAACGAAAGCTGTGTCAGCAATAACATGGCCATCAACAATGAAGGGCGAGAAAGCATGAAAACTCAAAGTTCAGGTGGAGAAGACTCAAACATGAGGATGCTTCCTGCTATGCCCACAGGACCGTGTAAGAAGGCAGGGGCAGGACGGGGAGAGGCCTGAGTCGTCTGTGTAAAGTTTTTAGGTATGAGAGCTTTAAATAACAGAGAGACAGATATATATTTAAAAAGTTGTTTATCTAGCATACTAAGGTGATGACTAAGAAATATACATCCACAGCACTAATCTGTTGTTGGTCTTTTCCCCTTAGGATGCAAGCTCCATGAAATCTTATTCACCTGTGCGTTTTCCGAACTTAAAAAACTCCTGGCACATAGTAGTTGCTCAATAAATACTGTAAAACAAATAGAATGGTGAGCCCTGTGCTGATGGGGGAAGGGAGTCTCAGAGAAATCAGGTACCTTGGCCAAAGACCTACAGCTATCAATTAATAATAAAATAAAAGTTGAAAATTACAGGGACCAAAATAAAAACCATCCCTGGAAAATGTGTCACTGCTTTATCCAAAAAGCAGGTTGGGTCGTTTCAAATGGGAAATGGGACTTGAACCGGCACCTGTGTGACCCTAAAGATTCTGATTGTAGCCCCAACACTGAAAACATGCATCTACCATGGGCAAAATAATGAGCTAGACACCTGCCAATCTCGAATCAGGCATCTCACTTTCAATTTCCACAAGTCAAAGAGTTTCCAATGTGATGTCCATCTGCTTTGGTGACCCCAGCAAAGAACTCTTTTACAAATTAGGCTTCGATTGTTATGAAA